GTCGCTTCCTTCCAATGCCCCGTCTTTCGTCGTGGCACGAGTGTTGGAAGAAGTAGACCTTGTCCCTTGTTGTTCTTGCTTTTGCTGCACCGTTAGCCCGCTCTGTTCGATTCCGTCTTGCCCATGATGAATGGATCAAAGACCGAACTATTCCCTTTGGGTTAGTGAAGCTATGGTCTATGTCGTACCTCGGACCCGTGCGTGTCGACCCGATCGACCGTCTAAAACCATCTTTCCCGAAGATGTGTCTGAAAACATGACATGGATGTGCCTAGCTAACCCCTGCATCTTTTGCCGTGTTGAGCGACCCTCTTCTCGGCTCCCGATGTTATTGAGTCGTGTGGATCGAAGGGAACCATTGATGTCCAATCTCTTTGCGCTACCGCTTTCTACCATAGCGGACGAGCCGAAGTACATTGGAGCCAAGTCACAATAGTGTTATTCGTTCTTGTCTACTTCTTGTACCCAATAGTGACTTACGGGATAAGACTATAAGAGCCGAACCCCGTCGTTCTTCCTTCGTTGGGCCCGTCCCCCGATTCCCGTCCTTTCCATGATGCCCGGATCGAAGGTCGTGAGCCGTGGTGTTGCTATGGATAAGCTTTGGCTTAAACCATCTATCCTAAAGCCATACTGGCTTGGCCATGACTTAAGCTTGTGCTTAGCAAACCACCACTTGTGATTCTTTGGCCCGAGGAAATCGGACAACCGTCGAGAGGGCTAAGCCATGTATCTCTTATTGCCTCGCTGGTGTTATTGGATTTTCCTGTGTCTTATCGTCTTTTCGAGTGTTGAGTGCTCTCTTGCCTTGCGTGTCGCTTCGCGGAGTAGCTGACGATTGGACCAAGAGAACGTGGACGACGACAAGGACTGCGGAATGGAGTCAACGCAGGAGGTGACCCCGCTAATGGAACACCAACGAATGGAGAATTGTACCACTACTACCTCTACATCGCAGGTGTCATGGCAGCACCCTCTTTTAGAGAAACCTATTAGACATTGCATAATATCTAGAACTGCTAGCGCTTTATATTTAATCATTTGCTAGTATATTGATGCATGCTACTACCTGAGCCATTATCACCCTGATGCAACCCACTCTACCACGTCACCCTGCTTTGCGCATTCACTCACTTATACATGCTGACTTGCCTGCTTGCTTGCATATTACACCACTATACTTATTATTAACTCCACTTTGTATTATATCGGGGATGTGATGCTGGTGGTGAACCCCTGGGAATGGTTTGGCTTGGGAAGCCGGACTCGGTGGTGTATGAGCGTGCTGCGTGTGTGCCTTGGGTGCGTGGAGAGTGAGGGTTGTGTCGACCGAGCTGAAATAACGACGAGCCTAGGGCGAGTCTTGCCACGTGGTGCTACCTGGGCACTTGGATATGGAATACCTGTGGTGGGTAAATGGTAATTGGAGGTGGCCTTGGGTGTGAACCTGTGATGGGAGGAGCCCAGGGTGGAGGTGCTGTGGTGGCACATAAAATGGAAACCCTGATGAAGACATTCTGGCTTGGTCAATCCCTAAGGACTTACTAGTACTCAGATTCACCGGGAATCCTTTACATCCCACTCGCCCTATATGGTGCCGGGACGGTCGGACTACTTGGTAGAGCGATGCCACTACTGCTAGGCGAACGTGTGCAAGGAGGTACGGGGCGCGCGGTTTTTCCCCCCACACCCTTTCGAGACTTCAGGAGGCCTTGTGAACCCGGCTCTTGACATCCGGAGGGTCACGGCTCTGTCTACGACTCACAGTATCAGCCATCCCAGACTAGACTTGGGATGTTCCAGGGCTGAGAGGTAGGGTGGCATCATTCTAGGCTAGCAAGCGACCGGAATTCTGTCTAGGAGATTCTAGACTCCAAGGATGGCTAATCTTGTGGGCATGTAAAACCTCTGCAGAGTGTATGGTTGATCGATCGATACATATGCCGACTTGTCGGCTATGGACCTTCCCTGGGTTTCGCTTAAACTAGATAGGAGATGCGTCCTTCTTTCCTCCCTCCAGGGTTGGGGTATTTTCCGGTCGTGAGCCTTGGGGCCACGGGCCATTGAGACAAGGCCGAGAGGGAGTTGGCCTGTCGACCTGAGTGTGTGAGATGAGATATGGTGTGGTGGTGTGGAGATGGTTTGGGATGGATGGTTGGTGGATGGATATGGATGGTGTGGTAGTGAATGTGTTAAAAACTAGATATTATTACTATATTACTAATGTTATTTACTTCTCATGCGCTAAGGATGTAAACCACAGCCAAATATTAGGATCGCCAGATCCCTTGTTTATCTTTTCCACTAAAGCTCATCGGTGCTGACCATGGCCTGCACATATCTAGCGGTGTGCAGATTTCCTGCTTCTCAGAGATGCTGACTTTAGAAGGATTAGGAGGTCTCGTGCCTACGCTCAAGTTTGGTTCGGAGATAGAATCTATGCTGCACTACGCCAACTCTGATGATGCCTGTGAAGGAGGAGCATTCACTCGATAGTCTTCTGCTAGATTAACTCTGTAATAGGTGTGTTCTCCAGTGATGTAATATCTTGTATTCTTGTAATCTTACGATGTATGACTGTGACATCGACTGAAATATGATAATATGATGAAATCAGTTCTTGGTTTTATCATATTAAAATTTATTCTGTGGATTTTTCCTTCAAGGAAAATTGAGGATGTTTCAGTAGACTTCATAGGTATCTTTTCAAGAAGAAAATTTCCTCTAATACATGTTTCTGTCGGTTAATGCTGTCATCATATTCTTCAACATGAACAGAACTGGTGACTCCTGGTGAGTCCAAATTAGATTACTACTAAGATCAGTTGCATCTCAAATATCAGCCGGTGACAGTTGCTTCTCAAAATATTAGCCAGTGAGTACCATTTTATCTGTATGTACCATTTTGTACCTTATTTTATGTATGTACCATTTTATCTGCTATAATTAGCCATGAACTCACTGCAATACATGTTCAAGTATTTATGGGCTTATTGTTTGCTAATTGACATTTATCTCATGCCTTACCCTCTTATCCAACAGTGCCTTTAATTTGCCCGATGTCTTACGTACAATGTATCCCAGATTTGCTAAGCATGAGGAACAATTCAAGAAGTATTTTTAGTTTTGGAACAACCACATTGTATTTTATGATGAGAACATTGTACAATGTGACCAATTCTTGAAGGTGCCACTATTTAGACATAGTAACATGTGTAATGTATTCGACTGTTTTTATTAGAAAACTTATGTGTCAGATCTAACATTACTGTATGTTGGGCAAGTGGTATGCTACAAAAATCAAGCTGAAAGCCCTCTTCATGCATTTTTGTTGTGCAGATTTTCAGTTTCAATGCATTTCGTGTGCTACAACCAAGGTCTCAATGTCATGAAAAAAATAAAGCTAACTATCCTTGATGTATATAAAAGTGGCCTTCAGTAACAGACATTTTCTGCTTTCCTATGATTCAAAACTGCTCCTTTGTTAGTACTATATTTCCATGCTCCCTATGATTCAGAGCTTGCTAGCCCGCGCGGGGTTCCAGCTAGTAATGCACATTCCTTTCAATAGAATCTGTTCTTAACCTCTTCAGAGAAAATCAATCTTAGCTATCGACTACACATCATGTTATATACTTAGCATAGTAGTTTGGAACTTCCACCACTGCTAGACTACATTACATAAACAGTTTCCTACAATTACACTGTATATAGCACCGCACCGTGCATTTATTTGACCATTGGAGCATTAGGTAACTTAATACAAAGTCCACCCCCACCCCCCACCCCACCCCAAAAAAAACGCACAAAGTTTTCCTAAAAAGATTAATTAGACTAACTACAAATCACTTTTTTTCCATATTCCATGATGGACAATGATCTTATATATCTATATTTGAATTTAACATTGGAGCTTCCCACATTTCTATTGCATCACGATCTTTTGACACTCCTTTTGCCATTTTGATTATACTGTACAATTTAACAGAAATGCTACTGGAGTACTTGTGAGCTTCATACTATAGGGTTTATTATCATAACCAAAACTCACTTTGTCCACTCCTTTATTTCCCTCTTATTTTGGCCCTGTTTGGTATAGCTTACGTGGGAAGCGTTTTCCATATAAGCTACACAAATAGAGTAAAAACGGCGGTCAAAATAAGCTAGTCGGATCCAGCTTCTGCTTTTTAGTATAAATGAGAGCAGTGAGAATAAGCGTGGCCGAAATAAGCTAAAAAAAGCTTCCCGTTTGACTTTGATTTCAACTTATTTTGGTCATAAGCAGCTTATAAGTTATGCCCTTTATCTCCCATATTGTCACTTAAAACATACAGCACTAGAATAGGTATCCCACGGCAACGCGCAGGGGTTTAGTACGATACAGTTATCTAAACAAGTACCGAATCCTTATTACCCCTCCCCCCAATAAGCATGTTCTCTCTCTCATATAAATATAAATATATATGCAAATTAACTCTCAGACATCATGCGTCCTAATAATTCATCATCATGCGTCCTAGCAATTCAGACATTTTGCATGATCGTGTTGTTAAAAACACTTGCCTGTCAAATAATAGTGTTATATGCATTGATGACTATGTTATCAACTCCGAATTAAGCTTCATCACCTTGGTGCTATGATACATCTATTGAACTGAAATAGCTACAAGTAGATAGAGAAACAATGGCACTCCACGTGCATGTGCGTGCACAAGTCGCTGGTGATGCATGACTGCCACACTCCCTCCACCCAGAATAATAATCATATTTCATAAAGGAAAAAAAAAAGTTGAATTTACAAACCTTGAATAGCAATTATTACAATTATATAATATACAAGCTTATGACATAAAACTTTGCATCAACAGAATTGTATTCAAAGTGCCTCTAAGATTATGATATTGATCTTTAAGCAAATGACAATATATTGTAATAAACAAGATTAAGGGTCAAAGCGTACTTTCCTGTTATCAAAATGGAGTATTCGTTTGCAAACAGCATTAGATCACACTACGCATCCTTAAGGTGTCGCCATAGCCCGTGACATACCAGGATAGATAGTAATCAAGACCTGAAGGTCCACAAACGCTCCTTTCCCGTTGACGGGGATATGATGTTCCATCCATTAGATCAATCGGGCTATTGCTTGTCATGCAACCCTCAAAACCCAAGTAAATTGTATCGGCACTAATAGACGGGAACACCAAAGGTGAGACAGAAAGGGATAATTCTGTACCAATAAACACAGCACGTCCACCGAGCCCACGGACAGGCAACATCTTCCTTGCATCCAAGTCCACACGATGCACATTATATTTAATACCGCTATTGATTGGGCATTCACGGTCCACAAGCATCAGCTCCCCGTCATTGTCCACCAGATGCACAGTATCCATCATTATCCTGCCAAACGGCCTAATCAGTTCAGCGGCGAGGGCCAGCCGCGGTGGCCGATCTGCACTGGTTTCAACCACCATCACAGCATGATCGGTGGCACAGCAGTAGAAGCGGCCCGCGAAAGACATGGCTGGAAAGAGTAGTTTGCCACGATCAACAACTGTCCAATGCACATCACCTGGCTTGACAACAGCAAGTGTTCTCATCATATGGAAATGAACCGCGAAGGTGTTGTCGTCGGCAAGGCCAGCACCGGACACAGACAACAACACCATTCTCAGATGGATTCTCCCCAGATCCCTCTGGTTCATCAGAGTAGTGGCCGGCGGGAACTTTGCCGCCTGCCGGGTAAAAGGGTTCAGTAGGCGCACGACGTAGGTGGCCATGTCGACGAGAACGAGGAGGCCCTCAGAAGTGGGGCCAAACACGCAGTGGTCGCGGAGCTCCGGGAGGTCAACGTATCTGGAATAGCCGGTGGAGACATTCAAGAAACTGCGGCGGAGCGGAGAGACCCCTGTTGCCCTCAGCATAATCCACTGGCGAGGGTGGAATCGGCGGTCCAGGATGCCGTGTGCGTGCGGGTCCGTGCAGCAGAGTCGCCACGGACGGCAAACGGCGCGGAAGCTAACGTAGTCCGCGACATCGCTAGCCAGAAGGCGCTCGGCAATCAGCCCCGCGGGGCCATCCCCTAGATTCGTCCAGTCTCTCCTAAAGACGAGGAAGAATCGTGTTGGGTTAGGTTCGAATAGACTGGAAGACAAAGCTGCAATGGAAATCGAACCGTACGTACCAATTAGACCCCCGTATGAGGGCGCTGCGTGCTCGCTTCGCCCCCCAAATCGGAGGGATCTGTGAGGAGCGCAGCAGCAGATCATCACCACCCAGGAGGAGAGCGCTCCGTGCTCGCTTCGTTCCCCAAACGGGGATCTCATTTTCTTGCTTACGGATCTGGATCTTGTGGCTTGGTGCCGCCGTATCCTGAATGTTATTTGGTCTCATGGCTGCACAAGTAGATGGTGCCCGGGCTTGGGAGGCTGCCTTTCTCTTCGCTGCACAAGTAGGGGCTGCCTGACAGTTGGAGGAGCAAGCTTCCAGCATCAGGTCATGGATCCGTGGACAGATCCATATTTATTAATAGGGTGACGGGTAGGCCTGCAGGAGGTTCGGGTCGAATCGGATCGGAATTAGAGCCCGCGGATCGAATCGGAATCGGGCCCACGGACAGGCAAAAGGATTGTGGGGGCCTGCTAGCGTCGGACCAGGTGGCGTCGAGTCGAGCACTCGAGCGCCAACCACTCCAAAAAAAATTTCAGTCAGCGTGCGATCTGCGGAATTGAGCCGTTTCTCAGGCCCAGGCTCGCGCGCAGCAGCTACATTTTGGGCCTACCTTCCGCAGGCGCAGCAGGCTCGCTCGGCGCGCCGTTTCTTTTTTATTTTGTATTCCTATTTCCGCCCTCCCGCGCGTCGCTTCCTTTTCTCTGTTTCTCAATTTTTTCGAGCCAGTTTTCTTGTCGTTACTTCGAGCGGGCAACAGAAAATAATAAAGTGTTACAAAGAGAGCTCAAAATATGACTGCTACTTATACTACTGTCATTCTCTACCACTATACTACGTACATGGTTTATATTACTTATAAAATATGTCTATTTATTAAACCGTTTAACTTAATCTAATATAATAGAAAATGCATCTGCATCTGAGAGAAACAATACATTATACCTTGGCTTAATCATGTAGAGAACTACAAAAAGCAGTGCAAGGAAAAGGCAAAAACCACCAACAGTCAGATAAGCGACACCACTAAAATTATTTTGGGATATTTGGATTCTTGCCATTACAATTTCTCAAGTTTTGAAGAACGCCATTACTATTCTTCTTATTGAAAACTTGCCATTACAACCCTTGATACAACACACCCATGCCCTGATCTGCGTCTCCCACGAAGCTAGGCCCACTGGCAGGCGGCGTATTCTCGTATAGGACTATATTGCCCTTGTTCAATTGGATAAGGTAGAGCAGCTGGCGTCCATTCTTCTCCCTTCTCCTTCCTCATTCTCCCACACGCCATTGCCGTCGTCGCCTGCCTGCCCTTGCGGCGTGCCTCTTCTCCCGCCGACGCTGGCCTGCCTTCGCCGCCTGCCATTGTCGAGGATGAGTGGCAACCAGTTTAGGCCATCGTCAGCGACCGGCTCCAGCTCGACGTAGAGCGCGTCGTTGCCCCCACTCGTGGAGTGTCCGGATTGCCGCGTCCAGCTCGTTCGGATCATAAGCAAGCAACGGGCCAGTTATGGCCAAAGCTTCGTGAAGTGCCCTAACAACATCAAAGTCAATTTGTGTTCGATTTTGAATTTTTGGTTGGTGTTCATGCGGCTAGGGTTTCATGGGATGCAGGATGACCCAACAACTTGTGGCATCATCATTTCAGAGGCGCAATATGTTGCATACTTACGCAACCCAGAGCAACTCCCAACTCGGTGGAAGAAGTTGATCCCTCCTAGGTCTGGAGACCGTGAAGGTGGTTCTGTCGATGGTGGTTCTGTTGACCGCATTGTGGACATGAAGCAAGAGGTGGATGCACTGAACAAGAAAATTGACAGTGCCGTGAAGGACGTGTTGGAACTGAAGTTGCAAGTACAGTGGGTGAAAAAGGATTATGTTGTGATAGCGTCAGTGTGTGTAGGTGTAGCTTTGGGTTGTATTATGAGTAAGATATGGAACTAGTCAATTGTATGGAAGTAGTCAATTAGGAAGCATTTTGTATGCAAGAGGGTGAACTGGAATCTATATATGCTGCATGCACTATGTTAATGTAATTTAGTTTCAAAATTCAATTTGTTGGTCATAGCTGCTGTATGTTGTCATACCATGACTGAAACAGAAAATTCAGTTTGAACATGTATGCATGACTGAAACTGAAAAGTCATACCATGACAATAGCATAATTCCAAGAAAACTGAAACATCACAAACTGAAAACTAAATTTGCCTACAATAGCATTGCTTTACAAAAGCATTCAAGCTTGTTCAAGTTTACAAGCAGCACAGGCCATTAAAGGCACTCAGAAAAAGCATCCAGTTTCCGCTTGTTCAAGTTCACCAGTTTGACAAGCCATTACATAGGCCATCACAGAAGTACTGATCCAGTGCATATGCCATCTCAGGCAACTAAAAGACATCCAGAAACACTACATAAACCTCCAGGCCATCACCTAGCCGGTCACAAGCCATCACAGGCATTACATTACCAGAGGCTACAAAATAAGTTCAAAGGCCATCACAACCATCACAGGGCCTGTTCGCTTGTCTGAATTTTGGAAGAATCTGGATGGTTTGGAGGAATGCTGGAGAAATTTATGAGAGAAAAACATTGTTCTGGATGAAAAAATAAACGGATCAAGCCGGGTTTAAGGGCACGCGAACGGGGCCACAGTCTCATTGTCCATCAGAGATGAGGTCCATCAGGCTTCTCACAACCCTTGCTGGAGGAGCAGCAGCATCCTTTTTCTGCTTCTTTTTCAGTGGTGTTTTTTTCTTCTTAGGGGTTTTCTTCTTCTTTGGTGCTTTATTCTTCTTCACCTTCGATGGTCCAGCAGTATCATCTTGTGGTCTCTTCCTGTGTACACACATATTCCAGTTACGTGCCATGATAAATGAAAAGAATACAAATGACAGAAGATCAGTGAAATTAATGTTAACTTTTTATTTGTGCTAGCAGTCTCGCCATCCTCTCCAACCATTTCAAGCTTGCGAGTCTTGAAGAAGTGGTCAAAACCTCCACACCTTTTACATCTAACTTTCTTTTTGTTGGTTCTTCTCTCTAGGCACCCTCTTTACCTCACAACCTTTGGCCGACCTGCTGCTCTTCCTAGTAATGGTGGGAAAACCTTGTACCCAAGATCAATTTCTAGCCATTGGGATCTGTCTGGCATTGGTTCTACTCTACCTTCATAGGCAGCTATGAACTTAGCAACAGAGTAATAATCATGCATAAAGTCAGCTACCTTCATACCTCTATTGGACAAGATCCAAGCCAAGGCATGCTTGCATGGCTTGCTAGTTACCTGCCATTCCCTGCATGAACACTTCTGATTCTTAAGATCAACTGTGTGCCATTTATGGTTATTCCAGTCATCTAGCAGTGTTACCTCTGCAAATTCATCATCACTGACTTTAACCTTCACAACTTTCAGATTTTTGCTTATAAGGTTCAAGTCCTTCATGACACCAGGAAGGATTCCATCTCCCCATTTCTATGCAATCTTCTTCCTTATGTACCTTTTCTCCATTATCACCTCTTTTATCCTGTCAACTAACTCATGGATATGCAGTCCTTTGAAGTCCTTGATCTGAGCATTGAAGCTCTCAGAGACATTATTAGTTAAATAATCACATTTACTTTCCTTAGAGAAGCCACATCTGTACCATATCCTAGGATGATTCTCCTAAAGGTAGTCAATAGCAGCTGGAGCAAACTCAAAGATTTTCTTCATATGCCACTTAAACATGCCTTCTGTGTAGTTCCTTGCAGCAGGATACAAATGGTCAGTGAAAACATCCCCTGAGTAGTGTTTCATGAAGTTATTGTACATGTGCCTTGTGCACTTCCTATTTTTAACCTATGGGAAAATAGCCCCCACAGCTTTCTCTAACCCTTTACAAGCATCACTACATATTACTAGTCTTGGCGGGTCTCCTATGACACTGTGCAAATTCTATAGGAATCACTTCCAGTTGTCCTCAGTCTCTGAGTGAAACACACCAAATGCAATATGGTACAACCAGTTATGCCCATCAACACCTGTTGCTGAAGCCAACTGTCTAGTATACTTTTCATTTAGAAAAGATGCATCTACTCCTACAAAGGGTCTACATCCAGCTAGGAATCCATTAATGTATGGCTTCAAAGCAACAAAAACCCTCTTGAACCTATTCTTCTTACCAATCTTCTCCAACTCTATTTGTACTCTACTTCCAGGTGAACTTACTTCTAGCTGATTTTGTACTTCCTCGAACATTTGAAGAACCTTTCCATTGGGTGCTCATTTGATTTTGACATTAGCTCCAAAATCCTCCCCATGCCGCAGTATGGACACCAGATTAGTGATAGGCCACTTTCTCCTAGCGGCAGCTCCGTCGCGGATTCTAGCTATGGCAAGAGCATACGCGATGTGCTAGGGGCCATAGGGATTTGGAGGGGAAGCGACGAAGAGACTAGGGTGGCGCAGCAAGACGGTGGCAAGAATGCGTCAGAGCCGAGGAAGAGCGCTGGTGCGAGCGTCTGCGGCGACACGCGGGGTACGACCATAGGAGACGAGATGAACGAGATGGCCAGCTCTCTTCAATAATAGCATTGGGCTGAGTCAGCGTAGGCCCAAATCCGACGTGGCGCTAGCTGTGCAAAAACCAGAGCCCAAACCAGCTATGGGGGTTTTGTGCACGGATTCGATAGATGAGGGCGTTTGTCTGGTTTTCAAGTCGAGGGAGGAAAATCAGACTTTCGCAACAGATGAGGGAGGAAAAGTGGACATTTTCCCTGTTCTGCTGCAAAGAAAAAAGAACTCTCGGCCCATGTACAGCAGACCTCAGCCCAGACACGTGAGACGTCGTACATATGTTCTGGCCCCTGTTATTTTTTCTCCATTTTTTATCGCAAAATCTAATACGCAACATGTTGCGCTGAAGTTTGACCACATGACGGGGCTAGCCCACCGATCCTCCCCTACCCCACCCTCATAGCCAGTGTCGGAGAGGGGGACCTCCCCGGCGCTGCCCTTTGGGCATGGCTCTGCCGGTCACTTCCCCGACAGGATCACACACGGGACGTGACATAAGAAGACAAACTCCTCAGTGGCTTCCAGGGGCTCCAGGCCCATGCGTCAGCCCCTCAAGCCAGCCTTCTTCGCCACCGAGAAGACTCTGGGGGAGTCCGATCCAAGCCGACACAGCCTGACATGCAGAGTGTCATAACATAGCAGCCGGACGACACCCAAGCTTCTTCGGCTCCACGACACCTCGACGGTCCATAGTGCGACGCTGCAAGACCCTCCTAGACTCCGACGCATGTAGACCGTAGACTTATCCCCCCAAATCGCCATGTACCCAACCTACCTCAAAATATAAGGGGATGTCAGAACCCAGAGGGGGAGGACGATCCCAAACAAATCATCCCATTCCTCATTCGATCCGTCGCTGCTCAGCACCGAGAGTAGGGCAACCCAGAGATGGGCACCAAGAGCTCCTCCTTCGCATCCCGCCGTCTTCCTCCTCTCCGACGAGGGGAAGACTCCTCCAGCAGCGAGGCAACCTAGGATTAGCACTGAGCTAACCGCCTACCAAATCTCTATCTTTCTCCAGTACACTCTGTTGTAATCCCCCGATTTTGGGTGCTCTTGAGTATAAGGATCATCAGCTGCTGGACGTTGGGCACGTATCGGCCTGAACCAGGATAAACCGTTACGTCCTCTCTATAATTCTTGTGTTCTTGAGTCCACCCGATCCACCACAGACACATACTCTGACACCGACTCGAACAACAATACTTGCCGTGGTTCCGACCCCATGATTGGTGAGCACGAGCTCACGCCCGTGGCAAGGAGGAAGACCATGGACTTAGGAGAGAGAAAGCAAAAACAAAAAGGGGTAATATTTATTAGGGAAAGAAACTTGCATTGTGTGAGATGATTTCTATAGATAGTTTCCTGCTGATGTGGTTGCTATGAAAATCATACGTAGTTTCTGCATTAGGATTGTCATAAGTCGAAACCGAAAACTAGATAGATATTGATTATTGAACCAATCTCTTGACAGACATTGGTACACAAATAAGAGATTTGAGAATTATAAAATTTGTATACTTTAATTGCTTTATCCGCTACCCTCCCCTTGCGTCTTTGCGTGCCATGCTAGTGACAGAATGGCTAGCACATGGCTGCTGGGCACGCACGGATGTAGGACACACTATGCCATGGCTGGCTCAGACGCCGGCGCTTGGATATACTACATCCATCTCATTGTAAGTGCACTTTTATATTTCACAATTTTTCTTAAAATAAGTGTATCTTTACGTATAAGATAAACTAACTTCACTTGTCTTTTTTCTACTTTCTCTCTTCCCGATGTGCAATGATTACACCTTTATGAGGACATATATGTAATTTCTCACTAACATTGATCTCTTCACCTAAACTCTTGAAGTGCACTCATTTTGCGACGGAGGGAGTACTCACCATTTGTGATTGTGCGTGTCACGCCTAGCCGTCAGAGGCTGGCACAAGGTGGATCTGGTGACCTGTCATCGCCCCATGAACTGCTGTGGTCACCACGCTTACCGCCTTCCTTGGTTAGCCGGTCCCTCCTGCGACCTCAACTATAAGCACTCGAACCGCGCCCTACACTCTCCACTCATCGACTACATGGACATCCTCATCCAGAATATCTTTAGCAATATCGCCAACTAAGGGCTTATTTGGATCCACCAACTAAAATTAAATTGGCTAAATTTAGCTGTTAGGGATCCAAACGACCCAGTTAAATTAAAGTTTAGCTGAGCTTAGCTACTTCAACCTAGCTAAACCAGCTAAAGTTTAGCTAAGTCTATTAGTTGGAGGATCAAATACCCCAACTAAAGTTTAGCCGAAAGAGCTTTTAGATAGCTAAAGTTTAGCTTTAAAATTTTAGCTACCTAAATTTTAGTTGGGTGGATCAAACAGGCCCTAAGTGGTGTATCACTATCATCTCATGGTTCAAGCCCACTCCAGTGACTACCATCCTAGCTCATCCAGAATATCTTTAGCAATGTCACTAGCTAAGTGGTGTATCATCTCATCTCATAGTTCAAACCGGCATCACTATGATTGTCACTCTCGCCCCATGGTAAATGTTGTGACAAAGTACTGTCTAAGGTTACATTTTTCGGAGGGACCACTGGTCTATCAATTTCCAAATTCTTGATTTTTGTCACCACTTAGTTTTTTTTTGACACAAAGTACTGTGGGGGAGGTCCCCACAGTTGTCACCGCTTAGTTGATCATCAAAACATGTCTTTTGACAAGGAACTTATATTATATTAAAACAGTGAAATCAGGGTACAAAGACTGGGGAACTCTTGTCCCAGAATACAAAGCAGTAGCTCACAAGCTACGACGAGAGAGGCCTTGTTTAGATCCCACACAAAAACTTTACAACCTGTCATATCGTGTGTTTGACATCTATATGGAATATTAAATATAAACTAAAAAAATAACTAATTACACAGATTATGACTACTTTGCGAGACGAATCTTTTAAGTCTAAGTAGTCCATGATTTGATAATAAAGTACTACAGTAACACTTTGCTAATGACGGATTAGTTAGGCTTAATAAATTCATCTCGTGGTTTACAGACGGATTCTGTAACTTGTTTTTGTATTAGTATCCGAACACCCCCATGTAACAACCGATGTGACATCCCAAAACTTTACGCCTGGGATCTAAACCAGACGAGAGTCAATAAATTGACTCATACAATGAAGCTCGCTATCACGTGTACTCCCTCCGTACTCGTAAAGGAAGTCGTTTAGGACAAGGTTTGAGTCAAACCTTGAGAATATAAATCATGAATAACTTTTAAGTTGTTGGGTTTGAAAATGTGAAAATTATATGAATAGATTTGTCTTGAAAAATAATTTCATAAAAGTATACATATATCACTTTTTGATAAATATTTTTATTGAAACAAGAAGTTAAAGTTGTGTTTTGGAGACCGTGTCGCTTTCCAAAACAACTTTCTCTCGAGTATGGAGGAAGTACAAAACAATCTAGCTAACAAGTATCCTGTCTTCTCAAGAAGCAGCCATAGGTGATGTCGCTGTCAGGGACGCCGGGCCATGAGAGATCAACGGCCAATGGCCATGACGAAGACATCGAAAATCCTCATTCTTGCACTCTGATAATATATAGTGGATGCTCCCCTAGATTGTCGTCTGTGTTTTCGAGAATTAGAAAACTTAAATTTTAGATATAGAATGAGCTCCACATAGACTGTCTGATCGGCTATGTCTTCGAGGATTAGAAAACTTAAATTGTAGATATAGAATGAGCTCCACCGGTCTGATCGGCCTATGTATTCGAGGATTAGAAAACTTAAATTGTAGATATAGAATGAGCTCCACCGGATTCAAGATACTGGTTTAACTCCTACCCACGTTAAATCTGACGACCAACAACAACAATTGAACATCAACAATTGATGGAGGTCAACCCGAACGCTGATAATCGATCATCAAAACACGTTGGCATATACCAAATTCATCATAGTGGAAAAATAAAGATCAACCTTGAGCTTGCCACACCTAAAAACCTCCAAAATTTGAGTACCGAGCTAGTAACTCGGAACCTGGGATATGTACACGCTCTCTGGACTGCCTCCTCCGAGTACTGGGCCGGGACCTCGCCGGCGAAATCCTTGTGACGTGACGTCAACACTCAGTTAACGAACGAGCACATCCTAGCTCCGACGCATCGACGACCATATCACCGCGCGGCCACCAAGGCAGAGCACGGCCAGCTCCCTGACGAGCTCGTCCAGCAGCGCGTCGACCACGGCGCCCTCCACGTCCGCGCCGACGTCGCGCTCCTCCTCGCTCACGCACATCCACCGCCGGCTCCGCTCCATGTCGTCCAGCGCCGCCTTCCCAGAGAGCACCACGTCCCCGATGCCCCACCGCGGCCCCGCGCCACGCAGCCACTCGGCGGCCGCGCCCACCAGCGCCTCCGCCGCCGCTTCGCTTCGGTCGTCGTCCAGCGGCCTGCCGCCGGCCTCCGAACGGACGAGACGGTCGGCGCCCTCCGCGAAGAAGTCGAGGACGAGCACGCGGGAGACCTCGTCGTCCAGGCACGCCGCCGCCGCCGCGTCGTGCTCCAGCAGCCGCGCGAGCAAACGGTACTCGTCGTCGGGCTCTTCTTGCTCCTGGTGGTGATCGGGCAAGGACGAGTGGTCGGCGCTCTGGTGCTCCACCTCGTCGTCGTCGTGCCGTGTCGCCGTCGTCTCCGCGCTGCTGCTGCTGTTCGTGCTCGAGCCGCTGGTGGTAGTTGTGAGACGCGTGCTGGCGTCGGCGGAGTCCCCGGACTCCGAGGTGGCCGCCGTGAACCGTACGTCGAGGTCCACGGGGTCGATTCCCTGCGCGACGCCGCCTCCGTCGTACCGTCCGATCTTGTGCAGCAACTGCACCTGCTGCTTCGTCCCTGCGTGCAGTACGTCCGATGATGACATCCAAGCTCGCTCATTAAAAAAAATGACATGTATCCAGATAATTAAATTAAAGTACGAATACTGTGCTCCTCAACCATCATAACGAATTTATAAAAATATTTATTGAAAAGTGATATATGTATATTTTTTTAAAAATATATTTCAAGATAAATCTATTCATATGATTTTCACATTTTCAAACTCAATAATTTAAAAATTATTTATAATTTATATTCCCAAAATATTTGACCTAAACCTCGTCCAAATAACAGGGTAGCTGATACGGGGAGGAGTTTGTTTAACACGGGCGAGGGACGCCGATGCATCACAATTACTAACCTAGTTGACCTAGGTGCGTAGTGAATCGTGATGCGTTGCGACGACAATCGTCGCCATCATCACGTGCCGTTGATCACGCGGTCAGCGATTATGGCCATTGAGCACCATATGTTAATGTGTGATCGAGGACAATTATAGTTATTATAGTTATAGCATTGATTGACAGTTACTTCCTTTTTGTGCAACAGCTAGAAAGAAAGAGACCGGCGCAGCTAGTAGCGTTGTTTTCCTCCGGTTGCCTGATCGAGGAGGCTCCCGGACGGTTTCTGCATTGGAGTTGGAGTTGGAGTGCTCAAGAATCGGCGTAGCATTAATGGTGTTCGGACAGTGCACGATTCTTCTTCTTCGGTGGCATTGGCCATGGCAAGTGTTACTCGAACACGGTGGCCATCCTGTCCTAGATCAGCGGGGCAGGACTAGAAACAATTTGCATGCCTAGCCATCCTCTAGAGTCGTCTAGCCATCTAGTTGTAACAACCATCGAATCAAACTGAAAATGCTGGCGGGTATGTATGCATACAGTTTAGTAAATAAATCTGGTAAAAATGAGGAAGAAGATGGAATTTGGGATCGATGGGTGTGCAGGGATGGCAAGAAGCAGCTTACTCTGGAGGTCCCCCGGCGGCGTGCAGCGCTGGAACTGGAAAGCGGGGAGGAACAGGTGCCGGCATCGCTCCCTTCCTCGCCGTCGTCGTCGTCGAAGTGGAAATCCAGAACCGACACGGGGCTGAGCTGTTGCTTGTCCTCCACCACCACCATGCTGGCCCCCATCAGCTTCTTCCGCCCCACCGCGGAGTCGCCGTCCGCTTCCGCCTGCACCTGCCATCATCCACCATTAGCAACTGTTAACACACTACCGCACATGGATCTATGCGCGCACGCAGTAAGTACACGTCTAGTGCTGCAAATACAAAGTGTCTGTTTAGTTTCCAAAACTTTACAAAATTTTTCAAGAATCTCTGTCACATCGAATCTTTAGACGCATGTATGAAGCATTAAATATAAATAAAAAATAAAACTAATTACACAGTTTAGACGAAATTCACGAGATGAATCTTTTAAGTCTAATTAGACTATGATTAGACACTAATTATCAAAGGACGACACGAGAGACTGTTGGTTGCAGCAGAAGGTGCGGATCCAGAGCATGCAGAGGACACGTCCAAGATGGTAAGTACGGCTCGTGGAGTGCAGAAAGTGCAGCACACATGACACCACACATGATTGAGCAGTGGCCAATTGCTTGTCTTTTTGGATGCAGTTTTTCTCAAAAAGACAAGAACAGATGAAACAAAAAGCCTCAAGTGGAGAAAAAAAAACATTGCAAGCCTCACGGGGGGGAGGAATTAAACCATTCGTTGCAGCCTGCAGGATAAAAGAATGGGGCCCGGCGTTTCCAGAAGAGCAGATCAGGAATCGGGAATCAGGATCAGGGTGGTAGCTGGTGAGTGGCGGCATACTGACACGCACGGTGCTTGTGCAGTCCGTCTCTCTCTCTCTCTCTATATAGATAATCAGATCCAGTAGATATGCCTTGTTTTATTCAGACATTAATTACAGTTATTAAATTGGAGAGGAGATACAGATACTGCCCGTAGCTTGAAGAAATTACTGCAGTGCGCCATTAAAACCCTAAGGAGTAAAGAGGAGTAATTAAGCGGTGGAGCCATCAAGCCTAGCAGCTGCTTGATGCCTACACTAGTAGGAGTAGTACGTACACACTACACAATCTTTTGGAGCAGCGTGACAGCAAGTGCTGCAGGAAGCTATAAATTTATTAACTCACTGAGGCTAAGTGACTGTTTAGTTCTCAAAATTTTGTAAAATTTTTTAAGATTTCTCGTCACATCGAATCTTTAGACGCATGCTAAATATAAATAAAAAATAAAATTAATATAAAATTAATTACACGGTGGAGCCACGAAATTCAGCAGCTGCTTAATGCCTACACTAATTAGAGTATGATTGGACACTAATTTTGGAGCAGCGTGACAGCAAGTGCTGCAGGAAGCTATATTTTTAAAAAAATCACCAACTAAACAAGTCCTAACACCACCTCACCACACAGGCAGTCTACTCCTAGGGTCCTATTTGATCCATGTTGCTAATACAGTAGCTAGCAACTAAAATTTTAGCAGGTTCAGATCAAAACAAGCCATCTAGTACTGTAATAGATGTGCTACCTACTAGCCAAAATTAGCCAGGTTACATTAGTGTAATACAGTAAACCTTAGTCATGTAAGTTTAGTTCTAAAGTCACTCGAATACTATACGTGGACTAATTTGTAGCCAAACTAGTTGTTAGCATTTTTCAATAATCGATATGTCCGAACAGTAGACGATAAAATTTAGTCGTCTAAACTTTAGTCACTTAAATTTTAGTAAGCGATAACTCTAGCATGCTAATATTAGTTGGCATCTAAACTACCGGATTGGGGTACTCCTGTATGAGTATACTCCGGTGATGAGAAGATAAAAAGGGTTATTTAACCGCGGATGGCCTACATGTCAGGGAGGTAACGAGGTGAACGGTTTCACGCACGCCGACGCTGCGGCCTGTCAACATATGGCTGCCTGTCTGGCTGATCAGTGAACAATGATCGCCTGAGCTGACGACGAGGCACGCGCGTGCTCCCCAGGGTACAATTTGCAATCGCATCATTTTCCATCACGTCGATGTGGGGAATATTTGGGGCGTCACCGAGACCATTCCTTTCCTTTCCCCTGCCCTCAATGTTATTCATTCAAAAAAAAATTACTAGTAATTTTTCATACGCCGACGCTTGTTTAGCCTGTCAACATAATGCCTGTCTGGCTGATCAGTCATCTCTTTCCATCACCTGATTTTTGACGACGAGGCATAGCGTATTAAATGTAGATAAAAAAATAACTAATCGCATCATTTTCCATATAAATTATGAGACGGTCGGGGAATATTTGGGGCGTCATAATCGACAAAGTTTATCAAATACTTTCCTTTCCCCTGCCCTCAATGTTATTCATTCAAAAAAATTACTAGTAATTTTCTATACACTGACACTACTGCATGCGCACCACTTGTAAAAACTCTGATCCTACGCCGATCGCCGGTTGTATTTACTATACTCATGAATATGCAACAAAAAAAGATGGCAATTTTGCTGCACATGAAGAAATTTGCAAGAGGTGTGTGTAAGCAAGTCACCATGGCAAGTCTCAATTTTTTTCGAACGGTTGAAGCGGACACCAGTACCGAACCGAATTACCGCTACAGGTAAAAAAAAATCGAACGAGGATGGCACGGCCGGTTGGCCTAGGATGCACGCGAATATGTACTGTGCCAGTGCTACCATGGGTAAATAGAAATTGGCCCACAATGTGTGTCTGCATGGGCATTGGGGCATCGCATAGCGATGGATCACCAGCAGACGCTCTGGAATTTATATGCTAGCCCAACCAAGAAGACGCAGGATGATTGAAGCAGCATTAACGCGCCAGGACGCAGCACACACACTGGGCGGAGCAGAGCAGCAGAGGCAGAGGCAGACGCAGGGGCAGGCACTCACCTTCTTCGCGTCAGCTGCGGCGGCGGCGTCCGTGCGGTCGTGGTCCGCCGAGCTGGAGGAGGAGGAGGACGACGACGACGACGAGGTGGAGGTGGTAGCCTTGTCGCGCTCGGACACCGGCGTCGTCTCCTCGGTCGTCGTCGTCACGTCCGCCTCGGACTCGGCGGCGTACTCGGACTCGCCTGAGTCGGACGAGGAGCAGCTGCTGACGAGCGGCGAAGGGAAGCCGCACGAGTCCCGGTCGTCGAAGTAGGCCGCCTCGTCGTCGTCGCCCTCGTCGCGGCGCCTCCAGAAGCCTTCCTTGATCCGGCGCGAGAAGCTCCTGGAGAGGCTGGAGATCCTGGCGAGCGCGCCGGGGCCGGAGCTGGGGGCGGAGGAGAAGAGCGAGAGCGAGAGCGAGGACGGCGACCGCGAGGGGCTCCGCCGGAGGAGCTGGGCCGCGGACTCGGCCCGCGGGGCCGGCTGCTGCAGCACGGCGTCGGCGTCGGGAACGAGGGGCAGGCGGCGCGGGTAGGAGCGGAAGCCGTCGCTGCTGGAGTCGCATCTGAGCTCCAGGAAGTCCCGCAGCGTCACCGGCCGCCGCGGCGCCTGCACGCCTCTCGCCGCCATCGGTACGGGCACGGCCGTCCAGGCGTCGTGGATGGCGCGTCGGCGAGCGACGACTGGACGGACGCTGGTGCTATATATGCTGCTGCCTATGGATGCCAAGGCGAGGAGGTAGTGGCCGGCGGCATGTGGGGGCTGTGTGCTGGCGCGCGCGGCAGGCCAGTGAGGCTGGGTGTTCGTGGCGTGGGCGCGCGTTTAAATGAGGAGGGAGAGGTGGATAGGATGGATCGATCGACGCGGAGCGGAGGACGGAGGGAGAGGAGAGGAGTGGAGTGGCGAGTGGGGGGGTGCTCGGGCAGCTATGATGTTTAAACGGAATGGACCCTGGGGCCTTGCCTGCCGCGTTGGACACTTGGGCTCGCTCGGCCTCGAGTCGGTTTAAGTAGACGGTCGGAGTGGATGCGAGGTCGCTTTTCGTCTGCCAAGTGCCAACGCATCGGGTCGTGACCACTCCAGCCACTCATGTGCATACATGTACTATGTGGAATGTAGTAGTTCAATCAGTAGTAGGCACCGGTCGAGGAGCAGCAGTCAGTTCAGGGTGAACCAGAACCAACTGAGGGCCTGTTTAGAACCAGGGTCGATGCATGCATGATTAAATTGATCGAAAAAAAAACTACGTGTGGGTGAGAAATCGCGAGACGAAACTTTTGAACCTAATTAGTCCATAATTAGACACTAATTACCAAATACAAACAAAATGCTACAGTGAGCCAAAATCCAAAAAAATTTGGATCTAAACGGGGCCTGAACCAGGGTGGAGCATGCATGCCGCATTGAAATCCGTACGTGTGTGTGATCAAGCGTGCTGGTTTGCCTACTCGCGGCCTTGCCCTCGCGTGTATACGGGGTGTTTAGTTGGTGAGTTAAAAAAAATTTGGGTGTTACATCGGATGTGTCGGAAGGATGTCGGGAGGGGTTTTTGGATACTAATAAAAAAACAAATTACGTAACTCATCGAAAAAATCGCGAGATTTAATCTAATGATACTAATTAATCGGTCATTAGCACATGTGGGTTGAAAGCATTAAGGCTTTTCATGACTAATTAGGCTTATTGCCTCGCGATTTCCAACCAAAGTGTAATTAATTATTTTTTAGCCCTACATTTAATGGCACATACCACGCCTGTGTATTTTGGGGGAAAATTTTTATACGCCATAGGCCCGTTCACTAGTTTGCTACCATGAAGGATGATTCATGGAATACAATCAATTATTCCCAAAACACTTTCATGGTATCGGCACTAGGTCAGAGTCATCTTTGTATTTTCCAACCAGACACACCTCCGATCCGTTTTGCAGCAGTGCAGTACCAGTTCAGTAGTCTAGTCCACCACTCACCTGCTCGATCACCAACCATTGCTCAGTCAGAGTCATCCAGTGTTTAGTTAGGTGAATAACAGCGAGCTCGAGCCCTGCAAAATACGTGCACACGTTGCGATCGAATGATTCGGTCACCTGTAACCTGTTCAGCGTTCACGTACGAAACTACGCTAGAACAAAAACAAAAGAGAATTCTCAATTCTGCGTTGTGGTTGGGCTTATTGTAAGCTCGATCGTACCGGCCACGTAAGGTTGCTGTGCGTCGCTGCATGCGAAAGCGATGCGTGTCTGTTCGTTCCGGCACGTCACATACCCTTGTAGCATTGTCACACCACCATTTATCACGTGCATCGCTCCGTGCCCGCATGCATGCAAGCATGATTGGTCCGCCCCAACCACACACGCACACACGGTTCTTCTTCTTCGTTGCATTGCATTGCATGCACACGGCCCTGAGGCCCTGCCCTGTCGTGGCCAATGCCAGGTCAGGCGTGTCAACGTCGCCGGTTTCATTTCGACGACGGAAACAAAAAAAATCCTGCATGCATGGCAATGGGCAGTAACGCACCAGACACGTACTACGAATTAGGATCCCTGGCGATGAATTCCAGTTGACAATTCCGCCGTAGGAGTAGCTCACCAGCGGAGCTAAGAGGGCCATGGCCCCTCCTCGCTAATTGAAAACTCCATGAAATACAGTGATTAAAGTAGTGGTTAAAATTAATAAATATGCTAATTAAGTAAGGGATTAGTGCTGATGCCCCCCTCTTATTTTCCATCAAGCCGCGCCACCGTAGTAGCTAGCAGGCTCGTCGTCGTAGTGGAGTGTATATTACGGATCGGAGCGTACGTATACGCTATACTCCTACCTACCATGTGCCTGGTGGCTCGTCGATCGGATTCGGATGCGCTGCTTGCTGCGACAGTGATATCCACCGGGCCGGGTGCTAGCTAATACTGAACAGTAGAGTACTCCGGCGATGTGCACTGTACACTGTAGCAATGGCGATGGCCGAGGCAGCCATTGACCTCGCAGTGAAGAAGCGAACCTTCGGCGTGGTTTCCGATCCGGGGACGCACGCACGCATGCGTTCATCTCGTCGCCGCGTGAGCGTGAGATTCGAAAGTTTTCGAATGCAAGCGCCCAGGTGTCGGAATCGCCGTCAAAATGAACTACGGGTACGGATGCACACGTGTAAGGGGTTTTGAATATGCTGCTCTCTGCATGCATGGAGGACTGCTGGTGCGTCGAAGCACGCGCTCCGTCCAGCTGTGCCATTAATCGTTAAGATACCCCTTGCCTCCTGCCTGCGTCTGCTTGCAGGCTGCAGCGCGCATTGCTCGTCTCGATCGTCGTCGTCGCCTCCTGATGTGGTATACTAGGGTCTGGTTTAGATCACCTCTAAATTTTAAGTTTTTTTATTCTCTCTTTATCACATCAATTTTTGGACGTATGCATGGAGCATTAAATATAGATAAAAAAATAACTAATTATATAGTTTGGTTGTAAATCATAAGATGGATCTTTTGAGCATAGTTAGTCCATAATCGAACAAAGTTTGTCAAATACAAATAAAATGTGCTACAGTGTCTAAGTTGCAAAAATTTGCAATCTAAGCAAAGCTTATGGTATGGAAAACACTGGATCTCGTCAGGGATTAGTTTATTTTTTCACACTACTCAGTAGGAGTACGGTACGTACTCAGTATGAGTAGGACAGCTTGCCAGCTCGGGTCGACAACAAATTACCCGGATTCTTCTGCCTTTACGCCGTGTTTAGTTTGGGAAAGTTTGGAATTTAGGCTACCGTAGCATTTTCGTTTTTATTTAGTAATTAGTGTTCAATCATGAACTAATTAAGCTCAAAACGTTCGTCTCGTAATTTCTAACCAAACTGTGCAATTAGTTTTTTTTTCGTTTACATTTAATACTCTATGCATGTATTGCAAGATTCGATATGATGGCTACTGTAGCACTTTTTGAGAATTTGGGGTGGGAACTAAACACGCGCTTATTAATCCATCGTCGGCCATGGACGAATTCATTCAAAATTTCGATTTCTGGCGGATGTAATTTGATTTTGATTTTTGAATGGGCATCACGTCTGCGGCAACGTGGATTAAGATCTGCATGCAACCAACAGCACAGCTGCAGCCCGCACCCGGGAGGACAGAGCAACCAATCCATCCCCTGACATCAACGCCGAGCCACAGCCAACTTGCAATCCAATAGGCCGGCCCAACCTGCTGGCGGCCTGTAGTGTACGCTCCCTCCTCGCCGCCTCGCCGGCGCCACAGGCGGGCTTGCTGCCGCCTGCCGCGTGCCGGGCAGGAGGCGTGACCGTACCTGCCACAGTAACCACGGCCTGTAGCAGCCAGCTGGCCGCTCCGTTACTCCGTCTGCGTGCTAGGTTCAAAAAAAGTGCTAGTTCTAAAGAAACACTTCTTAGATATCGCAAGTGTCTCATTTTTTTTCGTCATTGTCTGACTATAGAAAAAAATATGAATCATCTCTTATAAGTTACGCTTTTAATTATACTAGTTGATTAGTAAGATTATTGCCTGCAAATTCCTACAAATTCAAGCATATGAAATGTAAAACCCCCTAAAATAGGTCAGATACACATTTAGTACATGAACTTAACAATAAGGTACATTTAGGCACATCACCTCTCTAGCTGCTCATCCTAGTATGGCAAAAGTGGCTGCATATACGGGTCATGAGATTGACACATGGTTGAAAGAAAAAAAAATCGCACTACCCACATTGTGCTTTCTTGCTTGTGCTCTCGCCTCGTCTTGCTTGTGCTCTCGCCTCGTCGACGCAAGAGCGACTATGGTTTTAACACGCTCCACAATAGCCATCTTGTGCAAGATCTATACGGGTCATTGGTAATCCTCTCTTTCAAACTTGTTCCAGGTTAAGCAACTTCTCCTCCTACCATTAGCATTTATCCCTAGGCAGATTTACATTTGCTAGGTCAAAACGAATTTGTAAGTACCAATATAATTTGGTACTAACTGAAGACTGTCTTAATTTACTAATTTCTTTATTTGTTAGGCCACTAGTGAATTAGTAACAATCTTGCCAACTACTAAAGATTGTTAATCTTGACATAACTCAAGACACACTAAACTAAAGTTTGTACTGTAATTGATTGTTTAAAAATTGAACTTGACAGAGACACAAGAGACTAAGCTATAATTTGCACCATAATAATTGTTTCCTCCACCGGCTCATCGTCATCGTCCAAGTGCAAGAATATGGCTTGGTGGTGCTGTGTAGCTGCCATCATCGCTCGTGCCCCCAAGCCAAAATCCTCTCACTTGTTTTGGGGATTAAATAAATAGAAAGAAATGAATACCCAATCTTCTAAATTCGTATTCGCTAAACTGATGCCGCGACGAGGGTCGCTGCTGGTCAAGCCGTTGCGTCCGCGTGAGCTCAGCAGCCTGGCAGCCGTGTTTTCCGCGCGAGCGCGTACAAACGGTCTGAATCAAGACACGGCCGCCGCGACAACTCATCCACGACTAATGGACGCCGCAGGTGTGCCCAGAGGGCCTGTCGGCGCCAATAGGTCTGTTGGCTCTCGAGATGGCAACGGGTACGTACCCGATGGGTACTGGCCACCCGCACCCGCCAAATCAAAATCTTACCCGTCGGATTTGTCGGTAGAAAA